TTTTTACGGGCAAGCTGCTAACTCGGAAACCAGAAAAGCTGGAAAGCTGAAATTTTAAGGGGACGTCTCCCGTCCGTGCAGGTATTAATGATTTCAAACCCCGCCCCCAGGTATTCGTGGCACCTACGTGCAGGCCCGTGAAATTTTTTCGAGCAAGTTGCTAATTCGGAAGCCAGGAAAGCTAGAAAGCTGAAATTTTAAGGGGGTGTTTCCAAACGGCTCTGGCGGTCATTCTTAATCTTTTTAGCTAGAAGCATTTGCCGGAAAAATCAATGCTGGTAGCAACAAAAACTGCGGGGAACTGTGCAAAAAACGCATCTTCGCACGGGCAGCTTGTGCGTTGATCAATTATTTTCTTTTAACTAGAATTCGCTCGTGAATAATAATTCTCAGCAACTTAGTTTTGTCTGGCTAACGATCAAGAGCTTCGTAAGTTCAGATAAACTAATGGGCACTATGTTGAATGCTATATGCTATACTTGTAATCAGTTGGAAGTCACAGCGTCATACAAAAATTGATAATGAATAATTACGAACTTCAGTTTTGTCACCGAGGCGTTCCTAATGGGGCAAAACGTTTAAAAAGGAATCATTTACCATTTGCATCTGCCCCGATAAGCGCATTCCATAGGACTGTAAGGATTGAAGTCTCCTTCCAGTTCTAATCGTTCGATTTTGTCGATGTATATTTTGGTGCCTCTTCTCTAAAAGACTATGATATGATGCAGTAATGAGAAGAAAACACAAATTCTGCCTTACTGAGCCAGTAAACTCTACAGGAGAGCGAAGAAAAATCAGCAGGCAATGTAAAACGGGAGAAAGAATATTGCAGCTACGTCATCCACCAAAATGCCTTTGTCTTTTCATCCTACCGAGTAAAATCGCTTTATCATCTTTCCAGGTAGATTTGTTTCATATTAACTGAGAAAGTGCAGGGTGTTCTACTGATTTTCTGGTAGAGATGATTTGTGTGAGCTTTTGGCTCGGCAATGATTACTGTGCGATCCAGTTGGATTTCATAACAACATTCGGTGTAAATTGAAATTCCTAGAAGCCATTTGCTGTTTATTCATAACTGTTTAATCATAACTCCAGCTGTTTATTCATAACTGTAAATCGGACAATGAGCGTAGCACGCAGAGTGCTGAGCCTCGAGTTTGTTTAGAGTGTCATGTTGCTATTTTACAATGTAAATTTTTCATGTTTACTTTTGCGCAATTGCTTGATTACTGCTGCTCTTTGCTCGTCCGCTAGTCATTCTGGTATTGGCCTGTTAAGCTTAGCCGAGCATGCTTACGCCTGCTAGGCTTTATACCTCACAGTGTTTCGAAGATGCTCACCATGTCTGCGCTACGAAAAGGCGCTTGGATCTGAAAATCTTTGAATTTTTTCGCAGTAGCTGTCCAAAAACATACCAGAAGAAAGATTTCGAACTGTTCGTTGCTCCCATCTTGATGCGCCAAAAGCCGGTTGTCCCGTGTGCCCCGGAAACGGAATGGTTTACTCGGTGAATCGGTGAAGCAAAGCAGCGTTTGGTATGTTGCCGCTTTGGAAGCGACAAATTCTTTTGGTGTAGGACGAATAGTGAGATGAAATGCTTCTAAATAGGACAATCGTGTGCACGTGGGTACATCTGCCGGGTAATCCAGTTCGTCCTGCCAGATAGCAAAAAACTGCAGCACACCTTGAACTTCTATCATTACCGCCTGAAATCTGCAGCTTCTTGGATGCATAAAATCATAGCAATAAATATCAAAAGACTTCTAGAATAGGAAATAATTGGCCAACTGCACGGGTTGCCCGTGCTTTTTTGAATGGTTCCCCGGAGTTTTTGTTGCTACCGGCAGCGGTTTTTTCAGCAAATGCTTCTAGCTAAACAAATTAAGACTGGCCGCCAGAACTTTCAGAAAACACACCCTTAAAATTTCAGCTTTCTAGCTTCCCTGGCACCTGAGTTAGCAACTTACTGGAACAAAATTTT